AAAAAAAAAAAAAAACAGGCTGTCAGTGAAATGGTTTACATGACCTACAACTAAACAAGGAATTTCTAATCCCAAATGCATGTGACTATAAAGGACTTTATATTCATCTCTGTTAAATTTAATTTTGGGGTTCTGATTTAACCTTACATCTTTTACAGGCTTTTGGATTACCAGTTTAACTATAGAATACCTCCAAATTCCTTTCAACTCTGTCCCTTTCGATGAACACAATTTCTTCATTCAGAGAATCGATGAAGAAGTTGGAACTAGGCCAACGACAGAGTTCTGTCAAACGACACTGCAAAGCTCAGGGCACCACGGTCCAGACCTTTTGAGCCCTCCTAGCGGTGCCGCACAGCCCATACCTGTCTGTCCCGTTTACTTTTGGACAAATGTCTCGTTGAAATCAGGATAGAGTGATTAACGATACAATAATCCACCCTGCCTTATAATAAAAAACAGAACCAAGGTTAGCAGGCCTAGGCTGGGTCTGTGTGTTCGCAGGGTTAGGACCTTCTCTGTACAAGTCTGTTCGTGTGGGGACACCTAGTCAGTTTGTGGCCCTTCTGCACACCTCTTGTAGCTGAGGGCACAGTTCTGGTTTGGGGGTGGTGGGGGCAAGGCTTGGGGATGGGACGCTGGCTGGAAATATGGATGATGGCGCTAACTGCTTTTCTCGTCAAAGGCCAGGAAGGTTGTATCAGCCCCAGGTCCTTCTTAGGCCTCTTCACCCACGCACTCCCTTCTACTGCCCTGGCCTTCCACTGGGCCTTTCTCCTCCAGAGGTCCCTGAGCCTCTATCAGGGTTGGCTCCATCTTCGATTGATTCCCATTATAGATCTTGGATGGGAGGAGGGCTCTTGAGAAGGGAAGTATTGGTGGGGAAGATGAAGGTCCCCTGAAGCCTCTTCAGCCCCTTCAGCCCGGGGGGCCTAGAGGAGACAGGGAATTGTGGGAGAGGAGGTGTTTATCCTATCTAGAAGATGGAGGCTTTCCTAAGCTGCCGGCGGGGGGGGGGGGGGGACGCCATTCCTGCCCCCTCCCATCATTGTTCACATGAGCCAGTCTGATCTGGCATCCTCTGGCCCTCGTTGGCCCAGGAGGAAGGAGAAGGCAGACTCGGATCTTGGAGATGGCTGCCTCCTGGTCCAGCGCTCTGGGGACTGTGGCTGGCAGGCCCCACGGATCCCGCCTCCCTCCTGCTCTTCCAGGGCCTGGTAGCCTGTGGGCAGATGTGAGTAGTGAGGGCAGATGGCGGCCTTGTGGGGCCCCGCCCAGATGTCCCCAGGGCCCTCTCCATCAATGGCACATGAGCTTGCTCTGGAGATGGAGCCAGTACCAGGCCCAAGAGTCTGCAAGGTGGGAGCCTCTCTCTGTGGCTTCCTCAGTTGGCTTTCCCCCAGTCCAAGCAGAACCAGATGGGCACAGGACGGGCCTAGAAGCGTTGTGAGCTTCCTGCCTGAAGATCTCATGGTCCGGGAGCCCCCAGGCCACTTGGACCTCTTTGTTTCTGATGGTGGGCAAGGGGTGCTGACAGACAGAGGTGACCCAGGCTCTGAGCAGCCAGCAGAAGCTATGATCTGCTCTGAGTTGCTTGACTCTTTTAGGGGATCTGCCTATAATGCCTGAGATAGTGAGAAGCAGGAAGCAGGAGCTTGGTATTTGAGTTTGGAGGCGATTTGAGGGGTTCTGGAAAGCTAGGGGAGCTGCCTCATGGGGAGGAGGTGAGGGGCAGTGGTCTCAGGCCTAGAGGCCTGGATGCTGCTCTGCTTGGGAGGCTGAGGGGGAGTCGGGTGGGAGCTCTTTCTGGAAGCTTCAGTGAAAGGATGGAGAGTGTGTGGTGGGGGGGAGGCATGCACACCTGCACACACTCGTCCATGGGGGGGGGTGTCATGATCCTTCACTCACATGTTCACCCCGGTCCCCTCATGTGTGGGGCCGGAGGGAAGTAGAATCTCAGGGCTCTCTGGGTCTGAGATGCAGGATGAGGCTTCTGTCCTGGGGTGGCCTTGAGTAGCAGCTGTGGGCCAGGGTGAGCACATGAGAGGGGCTAGAGGCTGCGTGTGGAGTACGTTAGAGGCCAGTGCAGAGCCCAGGGAGGCCAGTGAGGAGGCTGGAGGAAGCGGCCCCAGGGGTGACAGGGGGGCAGCCAGCAACAGGAAGTGGCCTTCCCAGATGTAAGGGTGGCTCTGGGGAGGGCTAGGGGCCTGGCAGGTCTCATCCCGGAGTTCTAGGGAAAGAGGGGAGAGGCAGAGGGAGGGCGGAGGGAGGGACTGGTGAGAAAGATGCCCACTGCATCTCCCCCCTCTCCTCCCCACCTGCTGGGAGGTGGGTTAGCCCACATCCCTGAGCCTGGCTGGGACATCTCAGAGTCTCCAGGTCCCTGAGACCCCATGTCCTGCAGCCGCTGCCCTGGGGGAGCTCACCCTCGGGGAGGCCGGGGTACATTTCCCGGGCTGTCCAGCAGGGGGAGCCCCGCCCCACCGACCCCAATTCCCAGGGTCTGACCACCCAGGGCCAGGGCAGCTGAGACAGGGGAGGCCAGAGTGCCTCTGCCTAATGAGCGGCGAGGCCTGGCCGGCTCTGGGGAAGGCTTCCCTGCCCTCTCTGCCCCTGGCCGGCCTGGCCTGTCTGGCCTGGGCAGCTCCTGGCCTCCCCCCGGGGTTGAACATAAGACGTGGGCCATTTGGCTCCTAAGACCCAGGTGTGAGCCTGGGTCTCCTACTCTCCCAAGTCTAGAGAGAAGGAAGAACCCCGGAGGTGGCGAGGGGTCCTGGGAGCAAAAGCTGCCCTCGGGAAGGGAAGGGAAAACTAAGCCGAAGGCCTGGGAGCGGGGCTCAGGCTGGGGGGCCCCCCGTCTGCACACCACCACGAAGGGATTTGTGGGGTGAAGTGAAAACTTGCTGCTCTGGGCAGCGCTCCACGCTCCACCTGCCCTGGGCCTGGGGGGCTCAGCCGACGAGCCTGCCCTAGAGTGCGGAGTTCAGGGGGCAGGAACTTTTCTTGCCCAGCTCACCCCCCAAAATACCCTACGGGCCTGCTTCAGACAGTGGCCCTTGCTGAGTGTGTCTGCTGAAGAGGGGGGGCAGAAGGCAGACATTTTGGTGGCACCTCTGTCTGTGCAGCCCCTTGCCATGTGTGGCTGTTTAAATTAAAACTAAGATGAGTTGGGCGCCTGGGTGGCTCAGATGGTTAAGCGTCTGCCTTCGGCTCAGGTCATGATCCCAGAGTCCTGGGATCAAGTCCCGTATCGGGCTCCCTTCTCCTTGGGAGCCTGCTTCTCCCTCTGCCTCTCTCTCTCTCTGTCTCTCATGAATAAATAAATAAAATCTTTAAAAAAAAAACCAAAAAACTAAGATGAGCTAACATTGTATTAAGTAACGGTCTGGGGCTCATGGCTACGCACCGGAGGGCACAGAGGTGGGACTCATTCGTTATCACGGGCGACTGGGCAGCTCTGGTCTAGGCCCTCAGCACCTAGGGGACCCTGGTGTGTGTGTGTGTGGGGGGGTGCTTGCTGAGCCGGGAAGCCAGGAGGGAGCAGGTTGCTTTTCTCGGTGTGTGGGGGCAAGTGATCTGGAGGGTGGGATGCTGCTTTGGGGAGCCCAGGGACTGGGGGGTCAGGGAGGGGCTCTGGGGGGAGGGGGACAGTTGTCCAGGGTGGGGCCAGTGCTGGGCAGGGCGGGGAGGAGGTGCAAGGGTCCCAGGCCGTGGGGCAGGCCGGCAGCACCCAGCCCAACCTGGGTTCCTTGGCTCTGAGCTCCCATATGCCCCTTTCCAAGCTGAAGAATCATCACCATCAGAGGGTGCAGGGGGCGGAGGGGGCAGGCCCCTTCACCTCCCTGAGCCTCAGTCACTTGCTGGTGCGATGGGCCCAGCAGAGGCTCTGGGAGAGGCAATGAGTGGCCGGGCTGCCGGCTGTGGGAAGCAGTGCAGGCTGCGGATTGGCTTCTAGCCTCCGGGTCCTGAGGGGCTCCAAAGCCTCTAGTTCTGCCTCCTCGGTTCTTTAAAATTAAAAAGTATGCACCGTCTGCAGCTGAAGGGGGTTTGAAGCAGCTAACCCCTTATTTTACAAATGAGAAAACAAGCTTCAGGAGGTGTAGGGACTTACTCAAGTCACGTCCTCCTTGAAGTTCCCTGACGTTCGGAGCCAAGAAAAGTTTCATAAATGCAGCTTCGGCCTCTCAGCCCCACCTCTCAGCCCATCCAGACGCCATCATCTCCTTGAGGGATGTGGGGCTGGGCCGAGGCTGAGAGTGAGGCCCCGGGCCAGAGGCTGGGGGAAGGGGCTGCCGGGGCAGGAGGGCGCAGGCCGGCCACAGGGCCGAGCGTTTGGCGGGGCTGGGTGAGGCCCTGGCTGGAGAGCGGGTTCAGGTGGGGGTGGGGGGGAAGCGGTTCCTTCAGGGCCCAAGATGTTTGGGGCCACAGCGCGCCTCACTCCCTGGACACTTCTGCTCTCATTTCGACACACTCTCATCTCTGGAGGACTTTGTAGTAACAGTAATATTCAGGGCAACAATTTACTGAGCAGCTACTGTAAGACAGGCGTAGTACTGGATACTCGATGGGCATTCCCTCTAATCCACTCGTCGATCTTATAAGGTGAACAATGGCCCATTCGGACATAAGGTAGTTATGTGTCAGAGAGGTTCAGTGACCTGCCCAAGGTCACACAGACAATAAGGGGCTGCCTGTATTAGGTTTCCGGCTAGTTTTTTGAATCCCAAGTGCTGGGAACTTTCCAACAAACACAGCGGCCTTTCCAGCATGGGGCTCTGGCCGAGAACGTGCTTCCTGGGGTGCTGGGATGTGGGACTCTGGCCTGTCAGGGAGAGTTATAGTCTAAGGGGAGGGGTGCTCCTGGCAGAGCCCAGGCTTTGATGGGGCAACCCAGCTTTGATCTCCTTTTGAAGTCCCGGCCTCTGGAACCGGCAGCTTCAGTGGGGTGAGCTCCAGGAAAGGGGAGATGAAAGGCCAGGAGAAGCCGGGGTGGGAGAGAGAAGGGAGGGTAGCGGGGGCAGTGAGGAGCCAGGAGAGAGAACAGATGTGTGAAAGAGCCCCGCGAAACCAGCAGCTGGTGGAAGGGAGAGTGAAAGGCCGGTGGGGAAGAAATACTGGGGGAACGGAAATCAGAAATGCTGTGGGCAAACAGGGACTGGCCAGGCCGGGCCAGAGAAAGGGAAAAAGGCTGAGTTTGCCTGGGGGCACTGGGGAGGGAGGCATGGGAGAGGGTGGCCTGGGAGGGGGGCGCGGGCCGTGAGGCCCCAGCTTTCAGCCTCTTCTGCCCAGGAATCTGGGCTCTGGGGTGAGCCTGCGCAGTGAAGTCCACTTGGCCCTCACCCACCATCCTCCCTCCGCTGGGCACCTCTGTCTGGCTAGTTCGGCCACCACCTGATTGTTGATCTAATGATCCAGAGGCTCCAACAAGTTTCTGGCCAAGGTCTCGCTGAAGGCATCAAATGGCCCAAGGGATGGGATGAGAGGGAGGTGAGGTGCTCAGCCCTGGACTTCTGGAGTTCACGGCCCAGGCTTGCCATGAGGGGTAGGGTCTGCCCGCATGGCTATGCACCTGTTCCTGTCTGACATCTCAGTTCCTCCTTCGGGGCTGCTGCAAGCAGGGACGTGAGAAGGCTCTGTAGTAGCTCTTCTGTCCTGCCTGCAGCACTCCTTCCTCGGTGGTGGGAAGGGGCCAGGGGCTGGGACCTGGGAGCAGGCTACCCCCGCCCCCCGACCAGCAGACTCCTTCTCCTCCCCAAACCTGCAGCTCAGAGCCCTGCCCTGCCCCTGTGCTTTTGCTCTGCACTCCCACCCACACTGCCTAGGTAACGGGGAACCTGGCCCAGCACCTTTCAGACCCAAACAGAGGGCCTCCCTGGGACCCGACAGCACCCCTCAGGTCTGTTGGCTGTGGAAATGTTTGGAGAGGGGGTGCCAAGTGAAAGCTGATGAGGGCAGAGGCAGCAGAACCCTTCCCTGTCCTGGGTTCCTGCCGGGAGCACCCAGGATTATACCCGCCCCAATTCCCTGTACTTCAGAGAGACCGGGAGGGCTTCCAAATTAGGATTTATGGGATTAATGCCCTTTTTTCCCCGCCCCCTCCCCACCCAAGCCAGTCTCCCTCACTGCAAGCGTCATGCCCTCCTCCCGCTGGGCCTCCCCAGGCCCAGACCTCACAAGAAGGCTCTGTAGTAGCTCTTCTGTGCTGCCTGCAGCACCCCTTCTTTGGTGAGGGGGGCAATGCCAGGTCCTCCAGGGACGGCCTTGCGGGGGCCTTGGGGAGGACCCTGCGTCCCTCTGGGTCTTCGCTCCTCCATACCTGATGCGGGGTTTGGGGCTAGGCAAAGTTCTGTCTGTAGAGGTGGCTGGGGGACGGACAGGGTGTTGCTGAGATGCAGTGGGGTGGAGAACAACTAGGGGATAGTTGGAGGCAGAGCCCTGGCCCCCCTTGGGCCCCGGGACCCAGTGGAGGAAATGTTCTGCAGGGGCCACCCATGAGTCCCTCCTGGGTCCTCCCCACCATGCCAGCCCTCACTGGCCTCCTGGGACTTTTCTCATGCTCAGCACCACCATGTCTCTCCCAGCCAGTCCCGACCTTCTCCATCCTGTCCCTTTCTCTGTCTCTCCCCACCCTGCTCAAGCACAGGGCCTTGAGCCCAGGCTTGCTTACCTGCCACTGGAGCAGTGAGCCCTCGGACCTGCGTCTCCAGCCCTGTGATTCTAGTGTCTTAGTTTGAGGGGCCCTCAGCTTCCTTTAACCCCTCAGGGAGGCTCACATGTTTGCCGAACCCCTGGTGACTTTACTGTCTCCCTGATTCTCTGCTCTGTGGCCTCCATGCCACTCCAGGGGCCAGGCTGCAGAGCAAGCCCTGCTCACCACCCCCTGCAGAGCCCAGCAGGTCCCCCTTCCAGCCCAGGGGCTCAGGGACCCTCCACTCTGCCGGGAGCCCCTGAGCACGACCTTGCCTTGTCCCTCTCCGAACGCTGAGCCCTTAGCACAGTGCCTGGCACAGAACAGTTGCTCAATAAAGGTTGGTTGAGTCAAGCTGCTCAACTGAGCCAAGCGAGGACAAGAGGAGAGGGGAGCATGCAGCCTTGACCACGAGGCCCTGTGGTTAGAAAATAAAGTGGAGCACCCAGGTGCCTGGTGAGGCTAAGAGGCCACCTGTGATGCTGGCAGTGAGGTGGCTGCTGCGAGAGGTGTGTGCCCACGGGAGCCACAGAAGGATAAATGGGGACTGCTGGAGCAGGAAGGAACCCTAAAGATTGGTTCTAACTGCCTTGTTTCACAGGTGGGGAAACTGAGTCTCCCAGAAGGGGAAATGATAAGCTTGAGGTAACACAGTAAATTGGTGGCAGAAGTGAGACTACATTCTAGACCTCCGGGCTCCTGGTGCAGGTGCCCTCTCCTGCACGTGTCTGGCCCACCTCCTCCTCCCCTGCACCCCTCCAGCCCTCCTTGCATTTGTCCTGCTGGGGAGAGTGAGGAGAGGCCAACAGGGCAGGAGGGTGGTGGGCAGAGTGTACCTGTAGTCCAGAGGCAGGGCTGGGTGGCTAGGGGTCATGTGCTGGGGCGGACTCAACTGGATGGTGGCGTATTCCACAACCTCTCCAGGCCCTGGCACGGTGGTCCGTGACTCTGACATGACCTCCAGGGTGGAGATGTCCAGCTCTGCATAGTGGACATCAGTGTCCTTTAGGCCAGAGTCCTAGAAATGAGGCAGAGGGAGAAGTGGCAGGAGGGGGTGAGGTGGGTAAGGATAGGGACAGAGCACCTCAGGGCCAGATGTTGGGATGAGATGGGGAGGTGTGGGAGTGAGGTGGGTGCATGAGGGAGAAAAGGGGGCCATGGAAAATTGTGAGGCATGGAGGGAGGGAGAGGGAGAACCAGAAAAGCAATCTATCATTGGCAACAGAGAAGACAGGGGTTTGGTGAAGGTGTTTACAAAATTGGTCGCAAAGCATTTGTATGTGCTGCTAAGCTGCGTCCCTGTAGATCACTGGGGGGCTTTGGGGTGGGTCCCCGCAGAGGCAGGGTGCGTCCTGCTCCTGGCTCCGCTGTGCTTGGCTCCAAGACATTATTTCGGCCACCTTCTCATTTTGCAGAGGGCAGAGACTGAGGCCCGCAGAGGGCAAGTGATGTGCCCTGGGTGCCAGGGAAGATGCCGGCAGAGCCGCGGTGCCATAAAATGGAACTTAAAGTCAGAAGACCTGGCTTTGAACCTTGGCTGGTCTTCTTGCTGTGGCTGGTCAAGCCTAGTTTTTCATTTGTAGAACGTTGCGGGGGGAGGAAAGCATACATGGATTTGCACTATCGTGGGAATCTAAGGCTCCAGCTTCTACCCTGAAACTGCATTACTTGCAGGCCAGGCACGGCCCTGGCCCTGGGCACCGGCTTGGCTCTGCCTCCGGGCCCCTTCCCATCACAGAAGGCACACACCTCCCAGCCCAAGTTCGGGGAACGGGTAGCAGTTGCGCTCTGAGATGGTCCCTGGGAAACTCAGCCACCAGCTCCACCATGAGCTCACAGATGCCCAGGTGTTCCCACACTCGGTTTCAGCTGAAGTGGTACCGACTGTGGAAATCCACCACTCAGGTCTGCCGTGGGGGGCACTGCCTGGTGACAACCCAGCGGCCGCAGGACCCACCGTGGCATTGGCTGTGACCACACTTCCCCTGCCGTTCCCACCACTGAGGAGCGCGGCCGGGTACCCGTGTGGGCCCGTTCCCCGGGGCAGGACCTCTCTGACTTGGGCTGGGGGCTCCTCACCGGCCTGGCTGAAGCTTGCACAGCCGTGCTGCTGGGGTCTGAGACTCTCCCACACGTTCCTCCATCACGCCCCTCCCCTTTCTCAGGGCCAGACTGTGTCTGACGCCTGTCCCCGCCTTCTCCTGTCCCCTCCCCGTCATCCTTCACAGGCCTTCCCCAAGCGAAGCTCTTGGACATCAAATCTTATCTTGCCGTCTCTTCTAGGAGGCCTTGAGTCCACACGAGCGATTACCAGGCACGGTCTGAGAAAGTTGGAATTTGGGCCTGGTGGCAAGGAGGACCCACTCCGAGGGGAAGGTGGGATGCAGAGTCCTGGCAGCCGAGGCAGCCCGGTGGTAACGCTGTCCCCAGTGGAGGCTGGGAGGGCATCCTGGTGGAGGGCATCAGCTACTGTGATTCAGGCATTTGAGATGTGCAGGAACCAGCGTCAGAGAAGCCGCGGAGTTAGCTGGTTGTTATTTAGTGACATGGGCACTTATAGAGGGATAATGGGAAACCGAGGGCCACCGACAGTTAGAGGCTCAGTGTGAGAGCCAGAGAAATCTCGTAGGGAGTTATCGAGAGCTCCCACCTCCTCCCGCCATGGAGGAGTGGACCTGGCAGAGGAACAGATCCAGGATTGGAGAATAAGCCGCACGGAGCTCCAGAGATGCTCAGCCAAGCCAAGTTTGTTGTGCTGAGGTCAGGGCTCTGGCTGGGATGAACTGGAACTCTGGAACTGAGGTGAGGGTAAATGGATGTGTCCCTCAGAGCACGCAGGTGGCCCACCTGTCCCCAGGGTGAACACCATTCGGTACTGGGAGACACTGCGAGGTAGCAGGCCCCTTCCTCAGGAGCTGCCCCACCTCTGTTCCTGGCTGCCAGGCTGATGAGTGAAGATAAAGCCCAGCATGAGCCAGCCGGGGACAGCCGGCCTGATGAAGGAGGAGAGACTAGACCCAAGGAGAATGCGGTGGCAGGAATCACCTAGCACATCCCAGCAGAAGCCAGGCTAGCCCTTCTGGGTTGGAATTCGAGGGTTCTTGACCAACGGGGCCAGAACAAGGACAGGATAAGCAAGAATGCATTCACTTGGGGGCACTTTCTCAGGACATGGGGTTCAACACTCTGGCAAGGACCCCAGAGAATGGGACAGATTCATTGCTAGGGGGCATGGCATTTCCCATTGCAAGCACAGAATTGGGATTGACGTGCCAACACCAACTGGATCCTTGGTTTGTGGGACAAGAGCCAAGAGGAAGCTTCTGGAACTGCCCCCACCAGCCAAGACAGCCAATCAAAAGTGATGTCATACAGAGGCTGGGGAGAGACTAATGCCATCATACAGCCCAAAAGGATTCAGGGGTGGTCCCTGTCTTAGCTCCATTTAACTCATCGGTCTGCCTTACAGAAACCGATGGACCCCAGAGAATGACAGTTGACCACGGTAGACTTAATCAAATGGCAGCCTGTCTAAATGCCAGCAGACGTGCTAGCTCAGTGGCAAGTCTTGGAAAGGCCCCTCTAGGGTTCTGTGTCCCCAGCAGGAAAATATATAGGTCCAGGGGTCCAAGGGAAAAGAGGAGTGGCCCCCCCTGACCATCACTCCCGGTGACCCGGGGAGAATTTGTATCTCCTGTCCTCACAGCTGTGGGCTCTGCAGGGCAGAGGGCCCCACGGAAGTGTTAGCTCAGGCTGCCACCGGGCCCGTGGGCTCCTTGTGTTCAGCCAGCCCAGCAGGAGCCCTTCTTGGTGGAGCTGCTCTGATCAGCAGGAGCAGGTGGATTGCTGTCACACAGCGGGGAGGCGGGGGAGGGGAAGGGGTGTGTGTAGGGCACAGGTGACCACTGGGGCTTCTCCTCCGTTAATGGTGAATGGGCATATGCAGCAGCCTGGCTGAGGAGGGTATGAGGGTCTGGGGCTCAGCCCCCTCAGGAATGAGGATTTGGGTCGTTGCCCTGGGTAAGCCACCAAGACCTGCCGAGGTGGTAGCTGAGCAAGGGGACGCTAGAGGGGGTGTGGAAAGGAGAGATGAGTACCAGTTGTGGCCCTGAGATCTACTGGGGCAATGCGGGGGGCGGCCCGCGGAGCAGGGAGCAGACCCCTGTGGTGCCAGGGTGGACCCTGCCATCCGTGGACATGCGCGGTTCGGGTCCGCTGGGGGCAGCGTGGCTGATCATAGTGGGAGCCAGATCCACCACCGCATTTGTGCTGAGATCACAGTCCCCATCACAGTCCCCAGGCCGCTGCCACCAAGGACTGAGCGTGATGGGGATCCAGCGCAGGACCCCTCCTGCGGGGCACAGGAATCCTGCGGCTCGAGGACTCTCTCTGGGGCCTGCCCCAAACTTTTGTAGAATGCGCTGCAGCCTGAGACTTTTCACAGCCAACCCTCCTTCTTTCCCCTCTCCCTTCCCAGGTGTTAGACCGGCAGCAGGGACTGACGGCTCTCCCCACCTGCTCCCTCCTTGGTCCCTCACAGCCGCCCCCCACGGTGGCTCTGCCCATCTAGTCCCATCTTGCTGGCTCCTTCTTGAGACACCTGAACTGACACCATGGTTGCAGGACTCCAGCCTTCTGGAGGTTGTTGGGTGCAGTCTTGTGCTTGCAGTCTGGGCTTTGTCCTCACAAGACTGAGGAGGTGGGAGCCCCTCTCCTTAAGTATCCGGCAGCGTCTCCTCCTCCCGGCTCTCCTAGACATCTGCTTTGGAGCCTCTGGAAGTCCTTCCTGAGTTCTAGCCTAGAGTCACCAAGCTCTGCCAATGGTACCTGCCACCTGAGTGGCGTCCTGGCCCAGAAACCTTGCTAGAAATTGAGGGCTGTGCGGCAGGCTTGGTCAGCGCCCTCAGGTGTGCGCGCAGCATGGCGATGGGGCCGCCCAGGCGGGGGTCCCCGAACTTGGGTGAGGCTCTAGCTCTGGGCCCCCAGGCCCTCCGGCAGCCCTCCCATTCCCCTCCGGAGCCCTGCCTCCGTGAACAGTGCACGCTCTCGGCCTGGCTCCCTCTCAGCACTTGTTGGGAAGGGGAATTGATGACAACATCGGTAACGTGAGCTGTATACAAACTGCACCGTCAACAGCCCAGAGGGCCGGGGAGCAATCCTCTCCCGGCCCGTAATTGCTCTGTGGGCCAAACGGAATACACTTCTTTTGGCGAGAACACCAGTGTCTCCCCAGGACGCCAGAGTTGACCTCCCTACGCCACCCTCCAGGCCACTCTCGTGTGCACCCACCCACCTCAGTCCCTAATCGCGTGGCCTCTGGCTTCAGAACATAGGCTGTCCCCAGCACCCGGCCCCGCCTGCCCAGGGCTGGCTCACTCTGTTCTTTGTCCCAAGAGGTCTTACTGTGTTTCTTGAATGCAGAAGCTCAGGCGGGGTTTCCCTCAAGCCAGTGTGAGCAGGGGCGAGGGAGGGAGGGCTGTCAGGGAGGGGACGGGGTCAGAGCCACGTGCTGAGGTTGGAGGCTTGTATGAGAGAGAAGGTTGCAGAGGGGAGTGTATTGGGGTTGTGGGGCTGAGGTGGGCTGTCCTGGGGTCGGGGGCTTGTATGAGAGAGAGCGTGTGCACTGTGGGGGGCCGAGGTGGCGGGACTGTGCCCGAGCCCGGCCCCTCCTGTGCCCCCAGGGAGGGCTGTGCATGCCTGGCTGAGAGGGCAGCAGTCGGAGAGCAGGACTGGGAAGTCCTTAGTGGGGACTGGGTCTAGCTGCAGCTGTCCCTTTACATCATGGCGATTTTTATGCCGAGCCTGGGCCCCCTCTTCAGGGGATCCCACTGGAGTCTTCCATGACTTTCTAAATCACTAACTTCCATCACTTACCTCTCCCCCTGTGCCTCAGCGCCCCCCCCCGCCCCCCCACCTGCCATTTCTGCTTATTCTCCTCCCTCCCCCGTTCTCAGGGCTCTGGCAAGTTTATGCGCTCTTGGCTAGGGGCTGAGCTGAGGAATGAGGCTGATTTGGGGAATCCTGAACGGGGCATGGCTTTCTCCTTTCTGGAACTCTCAGGGTCTCTGCACCCCCTACTACCTCAACCATGTTCAGGCCTGGGAATAGTGTTCTTTCTCACCATCCTCAGGAAGGGGGGGGGGCGAGCTGAGTCTTTGTGCTTATTGTGTGGCCCAAAGTGACACCCAATACCCAACTCAGGACACCGAACCCAAGCTCCCGGGGCTGCCTCGTGTGTTCTCCGGGTCCCTGGAGCTGAGGGACAGCCAGGCAGTGGAGCTGGGCATTCTGCTGCGGACAGGAAGCCTGAGGCCCAAGATGGCTCTGCATCAGCTGCTGGCCACCCCGAGGCTCCGCAAGCCTCCCTGGGCTCCTCTGTCTTTAGGTAAACTCCCCACAGGTGTGCTCATCGTCGTGGCTGCTGTGTGGTTAGGGCTTGGACTTGGGAGCCAGAGGACCAGGAGTTAGAATAATGTGTTTCTTAGCGCTTGCCAAGTGGTCTTGGACAAACCTCCATTCCACTGAGCCTCAGTTTCCTCCTCTAGAAAATGGGGCCGATAACAGGACTTACAACATAGGTGGGTGTGAGGGTTGAACAGAATAGTGTTTGAAACCGCTCGCACTGCCACTGTGGTCTCTTCTGTTGGACGGGGCAGGGCCTCCCTCCATGTGGGAGGGGGCTAGCTGCTAAGGAGTGGCCTTTGTGTCCACAGTGAGTTCTAGCTCACGTCCAAGTCTCTAGGTTGGTGGAGGAACAATAAATGGCTGGTGGTCTTCTCCCCTGCATAGAATCTCAAAGTAGGGGCTAGGTTGGCCCTATGGGCTTGGCTCCCCGGGAATGCTACCCACCCTGTCCCGGGGGGGCGGGATTTGGCATCTCGAGATGGACTCACTTTGGCATTTCCAGCTGAGAGGGAGGATGGCTATGTTGTGTGAAGACAAAAGCCTGGTTCTCCCACCAGTGCCCGGAGAGAATGTGTTATCTTTGGGCCCAGGTGGTCTGGCCCGGGGCTCTGGGCTGGCACCATATGGGCGCCGCCCCAGGCCCCGTGTCTGCTGAAAGGCAGAAGCTGTGGGCAGAGGCGGCAGCCATTCACGTGGACGCTGGCCCTCTGAGAGGCTGGGAGTGGGGCCGGGGGGAGGGGCTGCTGTGGCTTTTGGGTGCTGGTTGGCAGGACTGGGGACTGGGGACTGGGTGCAGGACACAGAGCTGGAAGGCAGGGCTTGGCAAGGGGAGAGCAGGGCATCAGGTTGGGAAACCACCCCCTTCCTGCCCTGGTCTGGGTGTCCAAGCCCCGCTTTGCCCAGGGCGCCTGCTGTGTGCGACCACGAAGGGCCACCCCTCTCCTCCCCTCCCCTCCCCTCCCCGGTGGGGCCGATCTGCACCCTCCCTGCCCTGTCTCCTGGGCTTCCTGTGTCCTTTTCCCCTCCAGGCAGCGGGGCTCGTGGCCAGGCTGGGTGGAGCTGGGGGCACCCTCCCGGAGGTTGGGGGGTCCTTACCGAGGGGTGGTGGGGGGCGGTTCCCAGATCACAGTAGGGGGCCTGCAGGGGCAGCTGCTCTTGTTCTTCCCGCTCCTGCTGCAGCTGCTGCCGCTTCCCCGGCTCCAGGTGGAGAATCTGGAAGAGGAGGAGGCGAGCAGCTACACAGACTATTCCCCGCGCCCTGCTCCAGGCAGCCCTCCTGGAGCCCCCCGTCTGGTTCCCACGCACCCCCATCCCGGCATTCACCATGCTGGTGCCTGTCTGGGAGGCAGAAGGGACCAGCACAGGGTCAGGCATCTGCTAGGTGCTTGCGGATGTGCTTTTAATGAATGAACGCGCTGAGAAGCTGAGAGGTGGAGGAAGAGCTGTGGGCCCTGGACGGGGCGGGAGGGTCCTAGTGTGTCATTTCTCAGCGTGGGGGAGGGGGAAAGCCTGGGCCCAGGCCTCTCAAGCAGGCCTGGCCTTTTGGGAACTGTGTACGTGGGAGGGCTGTGCCTTCGGGGTGGGGCCCTCCCTGGGGCCATCTCCCATTTTTCATCCCCACCCCCTCACTCCAGGGACTCAGGCCCACCTGGATGTCCTCAGGTGCAAGGTAGCTCTGCCGGTCGGGAGGAGGCTCCAGATTCTGGGAGGAGGGCAGGGCAGTCCTGGGAGAACAGAATGAGGCTCACATGGGGGGTTCTGTTCCTGTGAGCCCCACTCACAGGGTGGCCCCCAGGACTCTGCTCCCAGGTAGCCTCCTGAATGGTCAAAGGTTGGGGTGGGGTCACCCAGCACAGCTGGGTAGAGGCTGCAAGGGCCCCTCCTAGCTTCCTGGGTGTGTCTGCCCCCAGCCCAGCCTGTCCCTCCCTCCAGCCTGGGTAGGGGAGCCCTGTGTGTCTCAGGGGTCCTAGCTCGGAGGACAGCGGGAAATCCAGAGGCTGCACACGAGCTAGGACCAGGGTGAGGGGAGCGACACCTACAAGTGCACAGCTTATGGGGGACCAGAAATCTCAGTCGTCACAATAAATACTATTGTAACACAATATATTTAAAACCCAAATTAATGCAAAAATCCATGAACCAAATATCAACATGTTAAAAAAAAAAAAAGGTAGGGTTGGGGTTACTGAGTTTTCCTTTCTCCTCTTGCTCCAGAATAGCTTGCGTGGCACTGTTCCTGAGCCTGTTTTCACTCAATACGGCAATATTTCGTTTGTCACGGACTTCTGCCCTCACCCCATGTCCTGCACCCAGTCCCCAGTCCTGTCTGGGAGGCAGAGACAGGTTAAAGACCTGTCTCCTGGGCTTCCTGTGTCCTTTTCCCCTCCAGGCAGCGGGCCTCGTGGCCAGGCTGGGTGGAAAGACCCAGGAGGTCTTTAACCTGTGTGCCTGGTCTCCTGGTCTGTAAACCGCGGAGTCCAGCCGCACACCTGTTTCTCAGAGTGGCCGCGGCAGCTGAGAGGGGGTGTCCGGGTGGGCGGTGGGGGGGCTTGCCAACACTCACCCACCACCGTCCGTCTCCAGCCAGCTTTTCTGCTGCCGGCGATGCAGTAAGAGGACAGCAAGAGCCACGGCAAGGATGAGGACCACGGCCACGGTGCCCCCTAGGAACGCGGCCACTTGTCCTGGGCCCCACTGGGGGAGGGGCTTTTCTAGATCCAGGAGTTGAAGGGAGAGAGAGAGAGAGGTTGAGAGGAAGAGAGGACTCTCGGAGTCAGAGAGGTGGGCACCAAGCAGAAGAATCAGACCCTGAGACAGTGCCCTGCCCTCACCCCCCTCCCCCTTCCCTGTGGCTCCCCTCTCCCATCCTGCTCCGGTTCTGGGAGGGGCTGTCCCAGTTAGGGTGGGGTAGACCTCCTACCCCCGCCTCCCCAGGGCCCTCTAATCCCAGATCTGGGGCATGGAGGGTAGGGGTGGGGGAGGGGGGAACCAGGGCAGGCGGAGGGGTGCTCAGAGATGGGGGTCCCCACCCCCTCATTCTATCTCTGGCCCTGCAGGGAGGATTCCTGTTGAGGAGTTTAATTTTCTTCCCCTCCCTACCCAATTAAACAAGCCAATGAACTAATTGGTGCTTTGCCCTCCCAGCTCTGGAGAGGCAGGGAGGAGGGGAGCGAAGATGGAAACTCTGAGATTGCATGGGGACCCTGGGTTGGTGGCAAACCAAGCCTGTCCACTGTGGAAGCTGAAAAACCCAGAGGGCCACCATCTGAGCCCACCCTCTGTCTGGAGGCACCTGGCTGTTGCCCCAGGGCATTAGCTCCAGGGGTAGCAGGTGGGGCTGGGCATCAGGCAGCCCCTCTCAGCTTGCTCCGAGGTGGGTGGGGCGAATCACTCAATCTCTCCGGGCCTCAGAAAGAAAGGGTCCTGGGGGCGTTGTGAAGGTTTGTTGACCCATTTCTCAGTCTGAGTCGAGCCACTGGCTGTCCCTGAAGATAAGGACACCATGAGACTGCTGGAAAAGAGCCTGAGGAAGGGAAGGGGGGGGAGGCACGGGTTGCTTTGTGAGCGGCCCTGATGCCCCAGGTTGGCGTGTGAGACCACGGCCGCGCCTGGCCTCTCCCTTCCCTCCCTCTGCTGGGCTCTATTTCTCACCTCCGACCCTTCCAACGTGCAGGGAGGAAGGGACTGGTGAGAAAATCATATATACTTCCTCCCCTCTCTCCTCCCTACACCGTATTATATATAATTAGACACAAGAGCACCTGAATAGAGGCGCTAAATTGCAGTTTGCAATAAACATCATGGAGCCAATTTTCCTGAAGCGGGATTGACAAGCACCTGTCCCTCTCTCGGCGCCATCCCAGTGCCCTGACGGAGGCGGGGTCTGGGGGAGACCTCAGCACCAGCCGTGGCTCCCAGCGAGTCTGCAGCGCCCCCCCGGGCCGGGCTCCTGTCCGTCCCCAGCATCTGTCCATCCCCAGCTGGTGGGCCGTGGCCCCGACAGGAGGGCGGTGTCTACTTGTGTGTGTGTGTCCGTCCTCCTTGGACCCTTGACTTTCCGCCAGCACCATGTCCTCTCAACTGTCACAGATGCCCGGGGCCAGGACAGCTGCGGTCACTTAAACAAACCTTGCCCCCTTTTCTGCAAATTGTAGCATCTCCACAGCCACCCCAGCCCCCTTCCTGGCCTTTCTTTATCCTCAAGCCTTCCTGCTTGCTCCCCTGCCGGCTTCCGACTCTGCAGGCCCGTACCGCTCCCCTGCTGTGTCCCAGGCACCGTCTGGCACTGGGCAGCAGGGAGGCACAAGGCCCAGGCCCTGCCTCCCAACTCCGCTGGCTTCTATTCCTCTTCCTTCTGCCTCCTGGCCAGCAGGTCTCCGGGACAGCCGCTCCTCCCCGGCCCCGGTGCCACCACCCTGGTCCACACCACCAGCATCCCCTGAGCTGCTGTGACAGCCTAGCCGGCCTCCCTGCCCCCAGTGTTGCCCCTCCAAGCCCTTCTCTACCCTGGAGCCCGAGTGATCTTTCTAAAAACCCCATCAGGCCACATCCCTGCTTAAAAATCTTCCAAGAGACCCTCTGCTTCCTCCAGGGGGTGCAGAGGCCTCAGCGCCACGCCCCCCGGCATTGGCCCCCGGAATTCTGTTTCCAGGGGGTACAAGGCAAACCTATATCCCCGTGTCCTCTCCGCACAGCCGAGGCAGGCTGGCATGTTGAAGGGCTGGCTGGGGCAGCAGTGGGAAAGCAAAGAAACGAGCCTGTCTGGCTCACAGAGTTCAGGTTTCTCTCCTCACCCAGCCAGCTAGCCCTGGGGACTGGGGGGCCGCCCCACAGAGGATCTGGGCAGGAGGGAGAGACGGTTTCATGTCAGCCCTGCCTCGACTCCCTGCTTCCAGGTGAGCTCCCCCTGGGACTCTGGGGCCCCTTGAGCAGGAGAGGGGGGTAGCTGTCCTTGTAAGGGACGTGCTTACAGTGCAGACAGTGACATATGGTAAATGACACTGTGGATGTGCCCGTGTGAGCATTAGGGCAAAGGGCCAACATGGATGGGGTGCTGTGGGCAAGACCTCAAAGGGGCCAGGGCCAGAGTGGATAACTCGGGTTTTGTTCCCTCCCAGCTGCCCTCTCTGCTTGTCCCACCCTCACAAAATAGGAGTGCCAGATCCCAAGAGCCCCGGGGCCCTGCCTGATCCCTCTGGACGGTCCCACCCTGGTGGAAGAAAGCCGGAGGGAAAACGAGAAATGGGGACAAGGGCAAGACAAGGAAGAGAAATTGGCTGGAAGTCTGTGCCAGGCCCCTGTGCTGATGTGGGGTCTGTTTGATCCTCATGTCAAGCCTGCGAAATTAGATAATGTGACTCCCGATGAGAAAAATGAGGCTCAGGGAGGTTGAGCAGTTTGCCCAAGGTCACCCAGCCAGCCAGTGGCGGAGCGGGCACTGGAGCCTACATCCATGTGATGTTCTCTGATGAGGCTGCGGGTCGCCTTAGGGGTCCTGGCCCCCATATGGCGAGAAGCTGCGTCCCCCACCCCCCTCAGCAGACACATCCCTACAGACCCCCTCGCCCTGCGTTGCTTTGTGTCTGAGCACCCCCACCCCCGCCGACAGCTGTGAGGTGGGGGCCCCATGCTGGCCCCAGCTGGAGCCCTCAGACATTCTCTGGTTACAGCGGGACGAATCTGCTCCCCTGGCCCCAGCTCTGCAGGCTTTGGGGCAGGACGGGTCACCTGCAGGCAGCAGGGCCTGGCCGGGGTGGGAGAGCGGGGCCCGGGGGAGCTGGGGATCCGTGTGTGGGAGGGGGTCAGGCCTCCAGAGAGCATCTCCCGTGAGCCAGGCTGGGTGCCGGGCTGAGGCTGGCTGTGTTGGCCTGACGCTACCAAGAAAGCCTAAAGGGGTCAAGTGGGTTGTCCGGAGGCCCACCGCCAGGAATGCCACAGCTGGAATTGAATAAGGTTGGCTTCTGAAGGATCTCTTTTTCTTTTTTTTTTTTAAATTTTATTTATTTACTTGACAGAGAGAGACACAGCGAGAGAGGGAACACAAGCAGGGGGAGTGGGAGAGGGAGAAGCAGGCTTCCCACGGAGCGGGGAG